GCTACTCATCCTTTTCCTCTCGTCTGTGTGTTTGCCAGTGAGGTTTGTTTCTTTTAGACAATGTATAGTTCAATCATGCTATTTAAATCCAAACAGCTAGTATAGTCCTTTAAATTCTAGAGCTAAAACATTTAGGGTTACTATATAGAGTTTTCTAATTTCTGTCTAGGGTTACTATATAGAGTTTACTAATTCCTGTCATTTAATTGGTTGTTTTCTGGTTGATTTTGTTGTTGTTTGTTATTTTTTTCCTCCCCATATCAGTTAAGGTTTGAGGGCTGAGTAATTTGGTTACTATTGATCCATTGCCTGTTTTGTTTTCCTGCATCTGTTACTGTCATTAATGTATTATTTCCTGTGTTGTGGTAATTAATCCTGTATTTCTTCTCTGTGATTTGAATTTGGATATATTCTCTAATGCTGACTGGGTGGTAATGAATGTCTTTACCTTGTAAAGATCTTGAAACATCTTTATCTGTTGATCTTAAAAGATAGCCTGGAATATAGCTTGCTTAGACATTATTTACCTTCAGACTTGAAATACATCATTCACATTTTCATGACTTCATTCTTTTGAGAGGTCTGATGTTATTCTGTGTTTGCTTTTGAATGTCAGTTGATATCTTCTCTTATAGCGCTAATATTGTTTCTTGTTCTGTGGTTTTCGCATCTTGACCATAATAGGCTGCAGAGGGTTCTTCTTTAGTCATGGCTGCTTAGGATGCTAAATGTCCATTGTGCTTGGATATTCATGTATTTGAGGATTTTATGCTCTTAATCTCTGAGCAGATTTTCTTTTTTTCTTTTTTTTTTTGGTTTTAATGATTTGCATGTTTTTATTTTGTGTTTAGTGTAATGATAAAAATAAAAATTCTGCCAGATCCCTGGTGGTTGCAGCAGCACAAACACTGCAGGTTTTTAGGCGGTGGCACACAGTGGGCCATGTGGTGGCAGGCAAGGGTCAGTGGTTCCAAGAGCATCCAGTCCCATGCAGTTCTCCGAGTGGCTACAGCAGGCCACCAGGAGAGACAGACAGATAGGCACATTACAAGACCACACCAGACCATACCGCACATCTCCCAAGTTGGCTGGTCCCGGGCAGGGAACCACGCAGTGGGCAGGCAAGAGACAGATGGATAGGCACACCATGCAGAGTAAGGTTGGATTCCCTTCCTTTTCTGTCTCCCTCTCGAAAGGCACCTTCTGTCTCTCCCCATTTCTCCCCTTCCCACTTCTGTCTCTCTCTGTCTCTCTCTCTGAATCTCTCCCTGCCTCTCTGCTCTTTTCACCTTCTCCCTCCCTCCTCCATAACCTGATAAATAAATATCCAACCTTACTCTGAGCAGATTTTCTATGCCTTTAATGTATATCTTAGTTCCTCCTTCTGCCTAACTGAGTCTTAGGTTTGGTGTCTTGATCATAGCCCATGAAATTACAAAGTTTTAGAAGCCAAATAGCAAGACCACAATACCAGCAAAGCAGAAAACAATGTATAGGAGCTGCAGTTTGATGAGTTTTGAGTGTTGGCCCCAGCCAGGTACAAGGAGAAGTGAACTGAGTCCACTGCCCTGTCACTCCTTTTGTTATTTTGATGCACTTCCTCCTTCTCTGGGAGGAAGAGAGTGGGTTTTCCTCCTCCTGAGTGTTCACCTTTGTCTGGTTGTGTGACCTTAGCTTCTAACAAGCTGTCTTAACTGGTAATTTCAGCTCCCCTCTTCCTGCCTTTAGACCTTCCCTTCCCTTCTTTCACCCTTCATTTTGGCAATGTGTCTTTTTTTTTCAATTTTTGTTTTGATTTCCCTAGATAAGGTTATATTAATTTGTTGCATTTTTCAAAAATCAGTTTGTCCCTGATTTTTCTCTAATGATGTTTGTTTGCTATTTTATTTTTTATAAAAGCAAGATTTATTTTTTGCATTTTATGTGTATGAATGTTTCCTGCATTTCTACATGTGTACTACATGCCTAGTGCTGAAGAGGCCTGTCAGCGCCCTTGGAACCAAAGTTACAGCCGCCACTGGGAACTCTCCCAGGTCCTCTGCAAGAGCAGCACTTCTCTTAATTGGTCTGCATTGAGTATATTCTTCAGTCTGCCTGCAGACCTTCGTCTTTTGAGACAGAATCTTTTCCTGAACTGGATGCTCACAAATTGGCTAGATTGGCTGGTTGGAAAACTCCAGGAACCTTCCTGCCTCCACTCATCCTGTGCTGTTACCAATGCCTGTAACCATACCCAGCTATCACATGGGTGCTGAGGACCCAACCTCCGCTCCTCATAATTTTGTGGCAGGCATTGTGACTAATTCAACTCCCCCGCCAGCTATTGCTTCTTTCTTAGTACACATTTGCGTTTGATTTGCCTTTATCTTCTTATGATAGCATCTTTAGAACTGAGCTCAATACTTAATAATTTATAAAGTAGGCATTTAAAGCAATTTAAAAAACTACTCTACCAGTTTCCACAAATTTGGGTATGTTCTGATTCCATCCAACTTACTTCAACCCAGGATACTTAATTCTTTCTGGTTTCATAAGCTGTGTAGAAGTGTGGTGGTTATATCTGTGGATATTCCCATATTCATTTTTGCTATCTTCTTAATTTATTACTATCTTTGATTATTTAAGATGCACTATAAATTTTCATTATTTCTAGTTAGGTTATTTCTTCTGTACTCTGATCAATTAGTTAAGTCTTAACTCTCTCTTGTTTTTGAATTATTCGGAGAGGGACTTTTAATTCTGTTGAAGTTAAAGATAAAGTTACTTGTTGATCTAAGTTGGTCTTTTTGAGATAGGTTTTCACTTTGTAGCTCAGGATGGCTTGGAAATCATTGTTTGCCAAGCTAACCTTGAGTTACGGCAGAACTCCTGCCTCATTTTCTCAAGTGCTGAGATTTTAGGTTGGACATATCACTTCTGGCTGAATTTTTAGTTTTCCTATCATGTACTTTTAGTATTGGTTTTAGGTCAATATACATATATAATTTTTTCTTTTAGTGTATTGACCTAATATAGCCTCAAAATCTATTTCTTCACTTTGGTTATATTTCCTAGACAAAAATTTTGTCTTGCATTAAGATAGCCATGTTAGCTGCGCAGTATATACCTTTAATTCCAGAATTTGGGAGGCAGATGCAAGTGGATCTGTAAGTTCAAGTCCAGCCTGGTCTACAAAGCAAGTTCCAGTACTGGCTTTGTAGCTACTGAGAGACCCTGTCTTGGGAAAGAAAAAAAAAAAGACATTCTAATTCTGATATAATTAATGTTTATGTGGCATATATTTTTTTATGATCCATTGACTTTATAAGATCCTTTCTTGGCAACTTTGTACATCTTACTTTTAATCCACCTCTGATCACAGTTAGAGGGTTTTCCATTCATACGTAATGATACAGTTGGCTTTATGTTTGTTCTTTTCATGGTTGTATGTTATTTATGTTTAGTCTTTCATTTATTTATTGTTTTTCTTAATTTTATACCATTTAATTCCTTTGTTAACGTTTTAGTTCATTGTCTTCTGATGTTTTATTTGCACTAGAGATCACAGTAAGAATCTTTATAAGTAGATAATGATTTAAAATGGGTTAGTGCTTGATTTAATCCAACTTAAACTACAGTTTTCCTTCCCCTGTATGCCTCCATTTCCCCATCTGTCAGTCATTGTGAGGAATCAAAGAGTATACCCAATTTGGATGGTAGCAGGGAAGCCTGAAGAAGTTTAACTGGAGTGACAGAAGGTTGGGGGTGGGGGGTTCCTGGGTGACAAACGAGGATGAACTTTCATTGTTCACAGAAATAGCATTACACAGAGCATCTCCATGTGCACTTTTCCCTCAAGCCCCAGACCCCACAGGACAACATGAGAGGCAAAGTATGGTACATTTCACTCAAATCACATCCCCAGACTGTGCCTCCAGGGTAGTGCTGCCACACCCGTGCTGGAGTAGAAGGTTCATGGTCCAGTGAGTTTGGAAAACTCTACAGCTGTGTTTATCGATATCTGCAATATTGTTGGCATGCTAATAGGTCTTTGAAACTTACACAAAAGAAATGTGATTAATTTTCTTTAAAGCAAGAAACCTTAAAAATATTTGACCACAGGATAATCATTTTTAAAATTTTGTTTTAATAACTCGTAGAGGTAGCATCTGACATTAGTTACTTGGGCAATAGCTAATCTGTTAAATACTGGTCTATAAAACAACAGAAGTGAAATAAAGACCATTTATATAAGAGTTTGTTTTATCTTTTTAAATTATGTGTAGGTGTCTACATGTGGTATGTTCATGCGAGCGCAGGTGCTCATGGGGATCTCATTGTAACTGGAACTGACTGGCATGGTTGCTGATGCTCATGGAGGTCGGAGGTGGGGATCTCATTGTAGCTAGAACTGACTGGCATGGTTGCTGAGAACTGAACCTGAGTCACCCGGAAGGAAGAGCAGCAAGTGTTCTTAACCTCTGAGCTGTTGCTCCAGCCCCAAGGCTACCTATTTTAAATTAGCATTAAGAAGCACAGTATCAGGGCCGGAGAGTGGCCCACTCAGTAAAGGGCTTGCCATGCAAGCATGGAGACCTATGTTTGATTCCTAACACCTGTGGAATAAACCTGACGTAATGTAAGAGGCAGAAACAACGGGATCTCTGGAGTGCACTGCCTGCTAGTCTTGTCCAATTAATGAGCTCCAGGTTCAGTCTCAAAAATAAGAGTGAAATAAATATACAATAAAGATATATCTACCTCTGGCCTCCACACACATTTGCAGGCATGAACACGGACACATCCATGTACCACCACACATGTGCACACACCACACACACACGCACACACACACACACACAAGCTGTGTGTGCATGCAGAAACAGTCTTTGTGGAAGGAAAGTAAGGCCAATGTCATCAATTTCCTTGAAACCTATTTAATGTTCTTCTTTTTTTTTTTCAATGATTCAAGTCAACTATCGTGTGATATATTTATTGGTAACTTCTATTTCTCATTGTAGGGGATGTAATCAACCTTGGTGACAGACAGCTCACGGTTATGCACATGCCAGGCCACTCCAGAGGCAGTATTTGCTTACACGACAAAGACCGGAAGGTTCTCTTCAGTGGCGACGTGGTGTATGACGGATCTCTGATTGACTGGCTCCCGTACAGCAGGATAAGTGACTATGTTGGAACTTGTGAACGTCTCATAGAGTTAGTGGACTCAGGTCTGGTGGAGAAGGTGCTTCCTGGGCACTTCAACACCTTTGGTGCTGAAAGGCTTTTCCGTTTAGCTTCTAACTATATTTCAAAAGCTGGGATATGCCACAAAGTGTCTACTTTTGCCATGAGGTCGCTTGCAAGTTTAGCCCTCCGCGTAACAAATTCTAGGACCTCACCTTAGTATCTGTACTGATTTATTTTGTTTGCGCTGTGTAAATTAAGCCAGTTCCCTTGTGTTGTTTAAAATGGTTACTAGTGAGCATTTCAAGAAGTGCTTTTATATAACCATGTTGTATATTAGAGAAAAAGAGGATTAAAAATGAGGAAACAAAAATAAAGAAAAGCAGTCTTCGTTTTGTATCCTTTTCTTTTTTCCAAGGAAAAAGCCGCTTACATGAGCTTGTGATTGGCCAGTGCTGCTGTTTCAGAGTGTTTGCTCTGGGAATGCTGGGGAGTGATGTGGGCCGCAAGGATGTACTCCCTCACGGCAGCACCAGGGGCAGCACCAGGCTTGCCCTTGCTCCTCCTCAGTGCACTTCCCAGGTGCCTAGAGGAATCAAATGCAGTTCTATGCTTGCACTTCATGTTTGGTTTTATTTCCGTATTTTATTTAAAGATAAAGTTTCTTGAGTTCAAAAATAAAGTAGAACTCAATATAAATTAGCATTTAGAATGACAACTAAAACATCCCATGTTCGTGATCCTGAGTTTTATGCCTCCTTGTTTAATTTTTCCTTTTCTTTGTATAAGACATAATATGCTCTATAATTTAACTTATGAACGGTACAATGAATTTTTGTTGTAATGCAAAGCTTTAAATATGAATTGCAGAGTGCTTCAGTAAAATACTACTGTTTGTTGTTATTGTGTAAGTACTATTTCCCGTCATGAAAGTGGAATTCAATGTATGTAACCTAACTTCAGATTGTCAGGTTTCTGAAAGGACACTGTCAGGCAAATTTGAAAATATACACATTGAGAATAATTTTTTATTATATCCTATTTTAGTATTAATATCTATTATAAACAAAATTTTTCTGGCTAAATAGCAGGTTCAGTATTGTGTCATGTTTTACAGTACCAAAATAATTCCTGATATCTATGACATCTTAATGTAAACCGTTCTTTTGATTGATGTAACATGTTTACGTACCACAGAAGAATTCTTAAATTAGTTGCAGTGTATGTATTCTGTATTGACGAGAGCAAATGGCCTTCTTATCCTGATTCACAACACCTGTTCCTGCTCAGTATTCTTTGTCATGAATGAAAACAAGTCTATGTTCATATGTCATAGAAAACATGAAGCCACTATTCAGCAACACTACGTAAAATGTTTGGGTTTGGTGCTTTTAATAATAACCTATCAAAAAGCCTTTTGGAGTATTTCATAAAAGTTTTTAAAACAGTTTCCCACTACATTTTTTATTATTAACATTTTATTGTTGATATTCTAGACCAAATGGATCGACTTTTGGAAATCAGATCATTTAATATTAGGAAAAAACAGCAGTACTTGTTTCTGCCAGGTTATTCAACTTTTTTATCCTGCACACACCCAGGTTCTTTAGTTGTTTTATTCTTTCAGTAGGCACACATACACAAGTGTGAGTACACACACGCACAGAGACATAGTTACACACACATGCAGACATACAGACAGATACAATCACACACATACATATACAGCACTGTGCAGACGAACACACAGTCACACACATACATACAGTCATACACGGTCACACACATACACACACAGCACTGTCCTAAACAATGCTAGGAGGTTTGAAAGTGAAAAAACAAGACACACATTATAGCTGGATGTTAAGGGCCACAAAACCCAAAAACTAATATAGGCATGTTGAAGTTAATATAAATTATGTTTCAGTATAAAGGATATAGGGAAGGATGTGAAGTAGGATAAGGGGAGACCCTTGAAAAGGGGATTTTTGAAACAGAGTTGGAGGGAGGCTGGGAAAGATTTGAACCTTGGGTTTCAAGAATTGCTGGGTGGACTAGCCTAGTCCTTGTGAGCATATAAATTTAATTTTCTGAAATCTCATTCCTTATAAGTACCATATATTTATCATAAAAAGGATGGATTTGTGATTGTATATGTGATTGCATATGCATATATTCCTAAAGGCAGATGAACTGAGCTGTCACATGCCACCATGAAAACCTTGGATTAGAGTCAGAAAGGAGGCCATGATTGGCTCAGATATGGAGTATCATGAGTACTCTGTCCTGGTCCTTCAAGATAGTGGGTCTGTTTCAACTGATGACACAGTACTGAGAGTAGAGGTTGGTTCAGGGCAGCTACAATCACTTAATAAGCCTTAAATAGAGCCATTATTTTTGTATCAGCAGCACAAAATAAAGCCAAAAGTCCTTAATCATTGACTGTTTTATCATAATTTAGTTATTTATTTAAAATCAGGATAGAGTAGGCGTTAAGTTTTATTAGGAAAAATTTATTCCTGATGTTTCCCTATTTGTTAAGTGCAATTCTCAGTATAAGCTGACATTTTTGTTGATTTCCCCAATCTTTCAGTTTTCCAGTTATATTGCAGTGTAAGATGGTGATATTTCAGTATTGCTTACCATGTAAAACTTAATGGAAGTAAATTCATACTCATTTAGTATTCATGATGAATTTTAAATTTGTATCCTAGTTCCAGCATCGAGACATAGTTGACCATGTCATACAACATGGACTAGGAATGAAGCTAGTAACTTAACACAGGTTTGTCTGCTACCAAACTGTACCCTCTCTTAAACATGCACAATCCATAGAATTGGCCACATATATTTTTACTTTCCAACACGTCACATATATGAAGAATAAATCAAGTAATATCAAATTCTAATAGCATTTTTAGAAAATAAAAAATATATTTTCACCCTGACAGTGACCCTTGATTTATGATTTTTGGAAATAGGATATTGTAAATGTAACTCAAAGTTGTCAAAATGTTAGACATTTCAAAATAATTTTTCTTATTTATATTGCTAATAATGAACTCGTGGACTTTTACTTTTTTATTTAATTACCATCTCCTTTGAACTGAAATGTTAAAACAAATTGAAACCTTGTGTGCTATGCCGATGTAGTTGAATAAATGCTTATGTGTTTGTTCTTATATGGATAGTAATATGAATGTGACATGCACAAACTATCCTATAATTTTCCAATAAGTGTATGTGAACCTTGGTGTGGTAACTATTAAAGTGGCCATTTATTTCAGTGTACAAGTGGTGCTTTTTATATACCATTAACAAATTTCTTCTTAATATCTTAGAGAAAAGATGCTATGTGAAATTTTTGGTGAACCTTACACATTTAATATAAGGTGATGTATCTTCAAATGGATTATCTTTCTTCATATTTTGATGTCTTTTAGTTCATTTTATTGCATAAATTGCTCTGGTTAAATCTACTAGTCCCTTCTCTCCAATTTTGGGGGAAAAGTTTTGAATTTGGGTTCTTTTTCAAGTTTTTGGTTAAAATCTCCAGTAAAACTTTTTGGTTGCAATTCCATAGTCAAGATGCCAACAAATTTGGGGAGGGCTCATTTCATAGTTCCTACACTGCTGCCATCTTGCTGTGACTCTAAGGAGCAGAAGGCATAAGAGAAGAGGGCTCTCTTGTCCCTTTAATGAAGGAATCATTCATAGAATCAGCTATAAAGGCTGTATGTACTTGCGGGTGTCCCCATATTGTGTGGTATGTTTCAACATGAACTGAGGAACACACAAACATTTCGTCTGCAGCACAACTCTCTTGGCTTTCCCATTTCTCTCACAGGTATGCAGAGTCAAACACAGAAGATATTCTGATTTTCCTTTAAAAATGCTAACATATTCATGCTGTGACTCAATCTTCTGACTTCATATTTCTAACTTCAATCTGTTTCACCTGGTTCTTCATATCAACTACTAAAATTTTCTCTCTCTCTCTCTCAACACATTAATTGTGGTATTTTGGATGACAGTGTCCCTCAAAGGCTCATGTATTTGAATGCTTGGCTCCCAGTTGGTGGAACTGTTTGGGAAGGATTAGGAGGTGTGGCCATGTTGAAGGAGGTGTGTCACTGAAGGAAGGCTTTGAGATTTCAAAAGCCCCTGGCATCCCCAGTTAGCTTCCTCTGCCTTCTGTTTGTGGATCAAGATATAAACTTTCGGCTTCTGCCTCAGCACTATGCCTGCCTGCTTGCTTGTTGCCATGCTCCCCACCTTATGGTACTATAATCCTCTGGAATCATGAGCCCCAAATTAAATGCTTTCTTTTATAAGTTGCCTTGGCCATGATGTTTTGTTACAGTGATAGAAAAGCATCTAAGACAGAAGTTAGTACCAGGAGGGGGCTACTGCTCTCATAGGCCTGATCATATGGTGTTTTATTTTGTTTTTAGAGGAATATGGAAGATGTTGGAAATTTAGACAAAGAAAATAGTTTTGAACACTGTAAATGAACTTCCAAGTAGGAAGACAATAATACCGAGAGCAATGTGGACTGTGGGAGCCCAGCTCAAGAGGTTTCCCTTGTTAGCAGCTGTGCTAGAGACCATTCTTGTGGTATTTTGGCAAAGAATATGTTTGCTTTCTGCCCTTGTCCTAAGAATCTGTCTGTGACTAAGTGGAGGAGTTTCCAACAGGTAGCCTGATACTGACTTTTTTGTATGCTTATTAGTGATACTCTTAGGCCATTCTACAATGAAAAAGAGCAAGCAAGGCAAAAAGAAATGCAAAATATGCCGTTTGAGAAAAATATCATCATGGAATTCAATGTTGGAGCTAAAGCTTGTGCTGAAAGCTCTAAGGAGAGGCCAGATACAAAATGGAATAAAGGGTTGTGCCCTCAGGCCAACCCCACTCAGCTATCCCTGAAATGTATGAAGGTAAAGGGTCCAAGGAATGTGTTTGTAAGAAGCAATGGATTGAAGTTTATGAAAATGTAATTCAAGGAGGGGGCCAGGCTCCATCCCAACTGGTAACATTGGCCAAATAGTTCTTTAGAGTTATACAGGGTATACAAGTAAGGCATTGTGGAATCTTTCTCTGCAGTTGAGGAGAGCCACTGAGGCCAGGCAAGTTGGAAGGAAGTCCCTCAGAGTCCATTTTATGAAGTTGTGAAATTCTGGGTTGTGTTGGAGACCCCAGGATGATGGAGGTACCAGAGCTATGGGATATCTGCCAAAGCAGGCAGCAGACAACATGAAACTAGAGAAAAAGTGTTGCTGTCTGTAAAGCTGAAAAAGTAGAGCCATCTAAGATGTTTGATATCATACATTGAACTGCACAATCTGGAGTTTGCCTGTGTGGTTTCAGGCTTGCTTTGATCCAGCATTTCCTCAGTATGCCCCCTTTTCTCCCTCTTGGAAAAGGAATGTGTATTCTTTGTCATTATGTGCTGGAAGTATGTCGTTTGCTTTTTTAGTTTAGAGAGGATTAGAATGAAGAGATGGCCTTGAGCCTCAGGAGAGACTTTTTGTACTTTTAAATAGTGTGGAGACTGTGAAAGATTTGGGGAACTTTTGAAGTTGAACTAAACGCTTTTTTGCATTATGATATAGGCACACATCTACAGGGTATGAGGAAATGGAATACGGTGGTTTGATTGAGAATGACACCATAGGCTAATATGTTTGAATACTTGGTCCCCAGTTGTCAGAACTGTTTGAGAAGATTAGAAGATATGGTCTTGCTAGAGATGTGTCACTCGGGGAGGATTTTGAGGTTTCAAAAGCCCACATCATTTCCCACTTAGCTCTCTCTGCCTTGTACTTGCGGATGGAGGTATAAGCTCTCAGCTCCTGCTCCAGCACCATGCCAACCTGTCTGTTGCCCTGATTTCTCTCATGATGATGTAGGACTTACCTTCTAGAACTGCAAGTCCCAAATTAATTACTCTTTCTTAAGTTGCTTGAACCATGGAGTTTTGTCACACAAATAGAAAAGTAACTGTGACAGTAGTTTTAATATGCAGCTCAGTATCTTTCAGTGTTTGTGTATACACAGTAAAGATAGATACACGGTAAAGACAGATACACAGTAAGGACAGATTCATGGTAAATACTTCTACATAATAAAGACTGATGCACAGTAAAGACTTATACATAGTAAAGATGGACACATAGTAAAGACTTATTCCTAATAAAAATTTACACATAGTAAATACTTCTACATAGTAAAGACTGCTATATAGTATACATATAAATCGTTACTATGTATCAGTCATTACTATGTATTATGCATAGAAATGGAAATGTGTTGTAGGAGCCCCCTTGTTGGTTCATGGCTGCCCAGACTTGAAATAACCACACAGAAACTATATTAATTAAATCACTGCTTGACCTATTAGCTCTAACTTCTTATTGACTAGTTCTTACATCTTAATTTAAACTGTTTTTATTAATCTATGTATTGCCATGTGACTGTAGGTTCCAGCTTGTCTGTTCCCAGCAGTGGCTACATGGCATCTCTCTGACTTTACCTTCTTCCTCCCAGCATTCAGTTTAGTTTTCCCCGCCTACCTCTATTTTGCCCTGCCAGGCCCAAGACATATTCTTTAGTAACCAATGCTATTCACAGCATACAGAGGGGAATTCCATATCAGAAATGAAATTATAGAAGATAAAACTCACAAGCTACCCATTACTGAATGAAACAATAAAGTCACAATTATAGCATTTTTATAAAGAATAGTTGAAAATGTACTCTGTATTTATAAATTATAGTGAGAACCTAGAAAGCTATGTGGGAAAATGAGACACAGAGGAAAAAAAGGCAAGTGAATCATTGATCAAAGATTTAAGAAGATATTACAAGTTGTACGTGTGTGTGATTACTAGTCCACTGCAGCCACCTCCTTTTTTGGCTTCTGGCCCTGCCTGTGTGAGCATGCATTGCAGAATAGGTAGGTCTTTGGTGAATCAGCAGCTGTGGATCCACTACTACTCTTTGTGGTGAAGGAAAATCCAGGGGAGAAGGGGAGACTGAGAACAAAAGTGCTACGTATTTGAAAGTCTTAGGGTGGGATGTTTCTGGGAGCAGTTTAAGATTAAGAGGCAGATCCTACTTAGTAAACTAGTGAAAATCTATTATGATAGAGTTTGTCAGTGAAGCAGGGTTTGTTGAATCAATTCTGATTTGAAGGCCACCAATCTATAAAACAGATACCCTGCACTGCTGGAAATGAAGACTGAAGATACAGATCTGGCCCAGAGGCAGATATAAGTATTTTCTAATAAGAGAGTCTGTCAATTTACTCTAGAATATTGGGATAGACCCAGAATACATGCTCAACTATAAAGATGCTCTTTCTGTAAAAGCCCCTTCTCCAAACACACTTCCATTTTTGGGGAACTTTGCCTCTTGGTGCAGACTCAGGGTCCTCCTCTTTCCTGCTGCCCATCTGAGCCTTCCTACTACTAACTTATCTCCATTCTTTGTGTTATTGACCTGCAGAAACACTATCTACCTGGGACCCCACAGCCACCACCCCGACTTTGGATCCAGAGTGAACAACAGCAACAAAAGAATAGAACACCCATGCAACAAAGACAAGGGAAGATATGTACAAAAAGAAACAATACAAACATAATGACTCCAGATGCCTAGATCCCATGCAAAAAGAAAACATGAATAGCTAAAACATTATGTTTTTACTCCAGAAGCCACCAACTGTATTACATTGGGCACAGAGAAAAACTATTAGGCTGAAGCACAAGAGAAGGACTTCAGAAAAACAATTATGAATATGTTCAAGGATCTTGTGGTAGTTTGAATGTAATTGGTCCCCATAAGTTCATAGGGAATAGCACTATTAGGAGGTATGGCTTTGTTGGAGGAAGTATGGCTTTGTTGGAGGAAATGTGTAACTGTGTAGGTGGACTTTGAAGTCTAATATATGCTCAAGCTACTCCCAGTAAGACAGACCACTTCCTGTTACTTGCAGAATCAAGATATAGTAGCTCCTCTAGCACCATATCTCCCTGCATGTGCCATGTTCTCTGCCACGATGATAATTTACTAAACCTCTGGAACTGTAAGTTGCCACCTCAACTTTTTTATTGTAAGAGTTGATATGGCTATAGTGTATTTTTCACAGCAATAGAAACCCTCAGACAGACCTTAAAGCAGATATGAATAAATGCTTTAATGAAGACTGTGAAAACACAAACAATTTAGTAAAATAACAATGCCAGGGGCTCGAACAATGGCCCAGTGATTAAG